AACATAATAATGCCCCACGGCTGAAAGGGCGAGCATGTTTGGCTGAACGGGGATTCGAACCCGCGACCCTCGGATTGCGAATCGAGCGCCCTAACCCCCTGGCCATGCCGGGGCTCGTCAGGAGCTGTCGATATCTTACAAGTTCAGAATGTTGAAAGATTGAACTAGTGACGAGGCTGTAATAGCGAAATACTGAACATTCTGGAGATATAGGTCGTGATTTTATTTATGTTTTTATAAATATTGTGTGTACAATGCAATGAAAAGAAAAGAAAGATGTCAAAATGATGAAAGCTGTAGTATTAAAAGTAGAGAAGAACAAGCCTGAGATGGGAATTCAAGTTTATTTAGTAACATATGTGACGTGGATGGAAATGTACATCATCGGTAACAATCATTGCACCATTAGTTCAACAAGAAATGGTAACCACTGTCACAATCCATAAGCTAAAAGATTTTAAATCAGGTCAGAACTGCTGGGAATCACAAGTTCGATAAAATACTCTAAAGATAGCCTCTTGTCTTCTACGCAAATACCACATACGATAAGTTTGTTAGACAAAAACTAAAACCACGTTTATACTTGGAAAATCACACACACATATCAGTAAATGTTTCAAGAAAAAACCAACTATGTATAATCGTATTTATGCAATTTTATATGCCCTCTGGCGGAAAGCATAAAGGACAAGAAATTCATATTTAGCTTTAATTTAATGATGAAGTAAGAAGCACAAATTTTACATCATAAAGTTCACACTTTACAAACTTTGGTAAAGTTTGATAACATAAATAAATTGTACATAATATTTTATTGAAAGGTAAGAATGACGAATTTTCATAATTATTTCAACCGATGTTAAATAGTTTCCATTTTTTTCCGCAAGAGGGCATCCGCAACAGTTTTCCATTAAGGTACAATTATACGTAGGTTAAAGAACAAGAAGCGGTCGTAACAAATCACGTGATTGATAGTACAAAGTTATTCTTCTGTATGAGAACCATATATCTCTAAGACCAAGAAAATTTACTCTCGACAAATTCTAGACAATTAACACCAAGTTTCAAAAGTATTACGAAATTAGTGAATTGAACGTACAATTTACTCTATCGTAACTTTTATCTTTGAAATTGGAATTTCTCAACATGTGATACGAAAAGGATAGAGTTTCATTTTCGTTGGAATTTGTTAAAATCGAAATCTGATTTTCAAATATAGAAACTAAAAAACAAAACTGTTAATCACACACAGAAACGGTATATATATATTTCTGATTATTGAATGAATATTAAATTTCAGGAACTTAACTTCCCGAAGACGAACACATTTGTAAACTTGTAAGGATCTCCTATAATCAACACCAGCTAGGTTTATTACATTTGGCTAGTAAGAAGAGCCGAGATGTTAATTGTGATTGTAACAGTACACGTAGTTAACTACTGCAAGTAAATTTGAATATTTCCGTCTAATTAAAGGGGGGGGGGGGAGGTGATATCTAATGGGAGTACTTGAGTAACATGAAGACACACGAATTTGTATGTAAATATGTATATATATATAATTATGCGTGTATATATATATATAACACGCAATCAAATACTAACTAGGTGTTTAAATATCACCTTCAATATGAGTTTCTGTTCATGAGAGGGTAGCGCCCTCTAGTGATGCAGATCGATGTGTATTTCGGCACCATATCCTTGAATCTTCTAGGGCTCACCTTGGCATGTGGTCCAGTGATTATGCATATTTCCTCTCTCCCTTTTGTAAGTTCCCAAACTTCACTGTAAAAGGCACACCGTTCACCACACAAACATTTTCAGTCATGGAGCCCACCCCTAGACTTTTCACTTGTAAGCTAACTGCCTACGTTAATCGTTGTTTTTTGAATATGCTAAAACTTGAAAAAGTAACAAAACACGGAAAAAGATAACAAACAAAAATGACATCACATGCTAAGTTACCTGCCAAACTAGCTTCTGCTAAGAACATTTCTTGTGCAACTTTGTAATCGTGAACAACATCTAAACCACACACAATAATACGGAAATACCTTTTAAAGTTGTTTATAATACATTAAACACTTCGATGAAAAAGCAAAAAAACGTTTGCTTCTACGTTCTAATTTAAATAACCTGAAACGGTACAAACTTTGAACATTCCGGAGATGGACTAAGGACGTTTTTCTTCATTTAGGTAAGTATTACCTCTCCTTCGTAAAACCTGGAAACATAAGGTTTTAGCTCGTTATCACGTGTTTCACAAAACCCGCTTAGAAAACATGCACTTAATGGTACTTTCTAAAAACATAATACGTCATAAAATGGAAATGAAGCTAGTCCTAGCATGTAATAAAATGGAAATGAAGTTAGTCCTAGCATGTAATAAAATGAAATGAAGTTAGTCCTAGCATGTAATAAAATGGAAATGAAGTTAGTCCTAGCATGTAATAAAATAGAAATGAAGTTAGTCCTAGCATGTAATAAAATGAAATGAAGTTAGTCCTAGCATGCAACACCAACACTATAGCAGGAAAGAGAAGAAAGATGAGATTCGTGGAGATTTTCACATTGATTTTTATAAATTTAAATACTTGCAAACCAATGATAACCACACCATGAATTGGCCTATGTTCACTACACACGTTATTATCACAAGAAAAAGCCGGCCTACGAAGGTTAGACTGGATGTCTAGTGTGTTTAGGCCTCTCACACTGCAGTTTCAACACTGTGATTTGACGCGCCATCTGCATTATCTACATTTTTCTTCTTTTCCGATGTTTCCCCTTCCTCTTCGATGGTTTGAATAACGCCCCGTTTCGAGTCTTCTCTCTCGATGTTTCGAAGGGTACTTTCAATGGTTTCCGAGGATATAGAAGAAGAACGTTTCTCTGCGAGTCTCTTTAGGGCAACGGGATTATTGCGAACGTCAATACCACTGCGGAAAGCGTTTACAACTCGGATCTGCAGAGAGACAGGAGAAGAGAAAGAGATAGATATAAAGAAAGAGAGAGGACGAAGTAGCCGAGAAGCAAAAATGTACTCTCCATGTGATAATGATAATAAACGCTTTATTTCAGGTTTAGCTTCATTAGAGATAGTTTTAATAACACAAGAACTGTTCTTGTACTACTAGCTTGACGAAGCCGCAATGGCGAAACGTTGACTGAAATAAAGTTATTTTTGGGAAAGTAAAGATCGATTTTTTTTCTAACTTTTTTGTTTTTTAATTTTTGGCCAGTGCACACTACAAGTTCTGAAAAACGAAACTGTAAAAATCAACGAGTTTTTTAGGTATGGGAAAGCCAGCATTCATCCCTTACAATTAAAACAAGTTTGAACTGCTAAGCCTTTCATATGTGTATTGTACGTATTGTTGAACTTAAAATTACACGTTCATTCTTCATATTGTTGAACTTAAAATTACACGTTCATTCTTCATATTGTTGAAAGTAAAATTACACTTTCATTCTTCATATTGTTGAACTTAAAATTACACGTTCATTCTTCATATTGTTGAACTTAAAATTACACGTTCATTCTTCATATTGTTGAAAGTAAAATTACACTTTCATTCTTCATATTGTTGAACTTAAAATTACACGTTCATTCTTCATATTGTTGAACTTAAAATTACACGTTCATTCTTCATATTGTTGAACGTAAAATTACACGTTCATTCTTCATATTGTTGAACTTAAAATTACACGTTCATTCTTCATATTGTTGAACGTAAAATTACACGTTCATTCTTCATATTGTTGAACGTAAAATTACACGTTCATTCTTCATATTGTTGAACGTAAAATTACACGTTCATTCTTCATATTGTTGAACTTAAAATTACACGTTCATTCTTCATATTGTTGAACGTAAAATTACACGTTCATTCTTCAATGAATTCTATAAACATCAGCTAGGAGTTAAGGAAGCAATAATTGTCAAAACTTGTAATTGTCACTAGGAGTTAAGGAAGTAATAACTGTCAAAACTTGTAATTGTCACTAGGAGTTAAGGAAGCAATAACTGCCAAAACTTGTAATTGTCACTAGGAGTTAAGGAAGCAATAACTGTCAAAACTTGTAATTGTCACTAGGAGTTAAGGAAGTAATAACTGTCAAAACTTGTAATTGTCACTAGGAGTTAAGGAAGCAATAACTGTCAAAACTTGTAATTGTCACTAGGTGTTAAGGAGGCAATAACTGTCAAAACTTGTAATTGTCACTAGGAGTTAAGGAGGCAATAACTGCCAAAACTTGTAATTGTCACTAGGAGTTAAGGAAGCAATAACTGTCAAAACTTGTAATCATCACTAGGTGTTAAGGAAGCAATAACT